CTCCATATGAGAATATAGTTTTTACTTTTTAATGAGAAGGTTCCTAAATTTTTGAAAATTCTCAAAGTTTTTGATAATTTAATAAGATAAGAGATACTAATTTATGAATAATGTATATTTCCTCCACCATATGAAGTGTCATACAAGCCAAACGAAACCCATACCATTTTTCGCTGTCACGATTTTCAATTATTGATATTTTTTGTTCATGTGATTTTTTTTTCTTTTTTATCTTAATAAAATCCAAAAGGGCATGTGAGAGTCGACGGAAACTTCCAATTTTTTTCTCAATTATTTAAGAAGAATACATTCATGTACGTATAGTAAAAGCATACACGTATATGATGTCCGATCTATCCGAAATCTATATGAGATTCTATCTCAAGAAACAAATGTCATAACTAGCACCACGAAAAATAAAATTATTGGGAAAAATAAATTCACTACTTGATACGTCTTAGTTAGTGCTGGCTCGAACAATAGACTTGGTTCCATACTATTTAAGCCAGGTCTAATAAGCTGATGACATGCTACTATCTGACAATGCGTCGTCTATGTCAAGTAAAACGAGGTATTGACTTGTCGTAACCAAGTCAGATATTGTCAATGAATCATCTACNTCAGGCAGAGCGNAGTAAAAACTTNCCGATACCTGGCAAGGGATTGCCTATATAAAGGAAGTCAGGTGGTAGNTTGCTGATACGNGACGTAAGATCGTCTACGTGAGATAAAGTCAGGTAGGAACAAGTGATAACCTGCTATTACCCGACGATACGTCATGTATGTCATGTAAAATGGAGAAATTACTTGTCACTAGCAAGTGAGACCTCGTTACCACTTTGCCATGAAGTCGTTAGCGCCGTTACGACGTCATTAACGGCGTTAACGACGTAACGGCGCTAACGACGTCGTTATAAGGTTAGTTCATTTATTGGATATAAAATAAATACATGTCTATTAAGATAACTACATATGGACTTGGCGGTGGGGATTATAACAAGGTCCATCATTATCTTGACTTGAGAATATGAAGAGGTAAATGACTCAAGTGTATCAAGAATCCCAATTATTAGGGAGAAAAACCTGGGCGTCAGGTCTCATCCGAATCGGAGAAGAATTTGGTCAAGTCTTATAAATAGACACGTCTTATAAAGAGGGGGGACACACGAAAATACACAGAGAAAACCTAAGAGCTACATCTTCACAGCATCCCAGCGATTGCAACCAGAGATCTAGCCTTGTTTTCCACATCCAACGAANTTCTTTATAACGNTTTAGACATCTAGACGTTGTAATACTACTCGGCTACAAGCCTACTTCGTTGATTAATAAACTCTACTTCTCTCTATCATTCCGTAGATCTGTGTATTTACGAACTTGGTTGAATTTTGCCGAAACAAAAATCATCAGTGTAGCAAATTTTGTTTTTGTGTGTTTATGATCAAAATATCACTCTTTACAATTTAAAAAATTCTTTGACAACTAAAACTCCAATAGTAATCATATACACCCGAAAGTATTTGATGTAAGTTATGAGTAATCAAATACCATTTGTCATACTATTTTTCTTCCAAGTATAAATCATCACGATGTTGATAATACTTACTTGAAAATAGATATTTGAAAATATTCGCCTTTTCCCAAACAAAAAAAAAACAGAGTAAACATTCGCCAGTTGTTATAGGCCCATGCAATACAATTGCTACGAAAGCCCAATATCAGTACATAATCAGTTTTATCTTGCAAAGTCTGTTTGTTTGGTTTTTCTTTTGGTTTTAAATATTCAATGTGTAGCGATTCTCAAAATACACAATCTAAACTACCCATGTTTATAAAAAGTACCTTTGTGGAACCCTTAATCGACAATAATAATGTTAGAAGATGCAAACGAAATAAAGTTTAACGAATGAAGCAGTGGGGTCAGGAAAGGAAACCAAGCGACTATGGTTGATCATGGCTCGGATCATCGCAGGTGAGGACGAGACGATATTGAATTTTTTGGATTGCATTCTTTTCAAACTGAATAATTCAAGATTTGATAGAGAACACTACAAGAATTGGTCAACACAGGTCACAGTTTAGGATGATCTAAAGCTAACCTAGAGGAAAATAGTTGTTGATGTTGGATCCAATTGCTTGCTGCAACATGGTATGCCAGAAGATTACGAATTACCTTAGAAGCAAGAGTCATTTGGATTGATATGGAAAAATCACATTGAAAAAAACGTTAAATATTTGAGCATAAGTTGTTATTTTCAGCTTACCGTTGTAATAACCAATAACATTGAATACTCTTTTGATTGGTTGATTGGTTCACCTGCTACCAGCCGCAAACGCAGCGTTTGCGGACGGTAGCGGTTGTTGGCGTTTGACAACAATCATGGAAAACGCCTTATACCGCTCTGTGTCGCTCCAAACCGCTCTGTATCGCTCCAAACCTCTCAAATCCAAAAACTGCTTCCCTCGAGCGTTTTCGGTTGCAATTGGATAATTAAAAAAAAATAAAAAATTGA